AGTGACTCAGTATATATTATTGAAATTCTTAGTTGTTAAGTAAACTTTGGCTAAATGTGCTCGAAAAATGATCTGCAAAGGCTCTTTGGTTTGTGGTTTAGTTGCCGTCTGATGTCATGCGTAAAACATAGACATCAAGTCCTTTAATTTTTCAAAGCGCAAACTTTACAGTTTCTGGAAGTGTTTTTACCTGCTTCCATCACGAGGTTAAAAATTGCAACATCAAACATTTTAAATTTTAAAGAGGAGGACCAATACCTCGCTCTGATGCTTTCAACATTCCTGAAAGCTCCATAGTTGTTGTATTCTACCTTAAAATGTATTAAGGAATTTATAATATGGCTGACGGGGTGAGCGATAAACTTACCTCTACGTGGTACACCCTGGACAACGTATACTCATACGGCAAAAAAGTCTATTAATCGGCAGTTAACTTCTGACTTCTAACTACCATCACCCCACTGCATGCCATATTCCACCATTTCAGCAGATCTAGTCATACCTTTTACTCAACATTTGTGTCTGTCTGTCCCTTTTAACTCTGTGAATCATTGCTCTGTCCCCCCGCCCCCCTCCCCACCTTTTGCCACTTTGATATTCCTCCTCCACTCTGAGAAGCCCGAAGTCAGCTAAAGGGCTAATGATAACTATCGAAACGCCTGCCATTTGAAATAAATAAATATGATGTTTGGGACAGTTCGAAAGATTTCCCGGCTCTTTGTTACCGATGCAGAGAAGAACCCCAAAGAGACAATTGGAGCATGGGAGGCCCCAGACGATTATTAACAATCCAAAAAGTTTCCCTAACTTAAAGCAGAACAGCGTTAAATAGGCCTCTATGCTTATTAGTAACTCTAAGTAGGTTGGTCATCTATATACTGAATAATAAATAGTAATTTGAACCATGTAACAGCATAGCAAAATTTATTTAATGAATTTGTTCAGGGTAAGACGCAAGCAGTGTTAGAATTTGATATAGAGATCTTGGTGTGCGCTCTAAAATACAGAATAAGGTTTTAATACGAGTTTTTTGTGTAAAAATTAGTACATGTAACAAATTGACAACAATTTTCTTTTTTTTCATAAATTGTTTATCATTTTTCTTTCTACTAAAGCAATCGGTTGGGTAATAATTTTTCAGGCGGAAATTTTTGCGATAATAAAATGACATTAAAATCATAGTAAAACCAGGGGGTTTAAAATCTAGCGTTTGAATTTTGGCCATATTTTTTTTCGAATTTTTACACACGATATTTTGCGAATTTTACGCATTTACTCTGTTTATATGATAAAATAAACAGGAGAGTTGTTAGCACACTGAAAGTGGTAAATATTTCATATTAAATAGAAATTGTTTACAATTTATTTATTTATTTAAGCGAAATTATGTCAACAAAGCAAGAGTTGGTCCCTCTGAAAAGACGTACTTTGAGATAACGCAGAATATCTAAGATCCGTGCTCTTAAGTTCGCATTTTCGAATGCTCGTTTGGATGGCAATGAACCTATGTTGATCTAATTAATACACAGAGATTCCCAAATCTGGAATGGGGCTATTGAGTTCTGCCTCCCTAACATTTCTCCATTGCCCTTAAGTTGTAATTTTCTACCACATCGTGTATTTCAATGCGTTAATTATATTAAAAATCATACTTGGATGGGAAGTGTGACCTCTAAGGTCATTTGGAAGGAAGAATATTTCTAAATAAATTTTAATATGTCTCATATTGTTGTGCACGCAGAGTCACCTTGAATTTGGATGAGTTGCATTACCAATTTCGTCTCGTGTGATTGAGAAATGGGCTTAAAATTACCTTACTTTAGAAGAAAATGTATGCGAAGTCTTTAAAAGCATAAAGAGAAGCAAACTTTATAATCCAATTCAACGCAAAATTATTGGCCACTTGAATGTCAATATACGCATTAAAATAAAATGAAATATTATTATATTGCAAAGCATTTTGTTCTCTTAACTACCATAACCAGGAAGAGTCATGCTTGCTTGAAGCGTTTGAGCAAAACTCCTCATTTTGTTGATTCAATGCGTTAGAATCTGCATTCTATTCTTTGTTAAGAGAAGTTATTTAATTAAATTAAGTTGTGTGTAGATAATTGTTTTTGCCTGTCCAACCCAGGGTCAAGATACCTTTGTCTATCATTTAGAATTGTTAATTACGACAGACCACTAGGATGCCAAAAGTGGCGATGGTCTTTTTAATCAATAAGCAATCACTATTTGTAATGTTCACCACAAAAATAGTGGCCTTTATTAAATACATTCTAAACAGTGCATATTTTTTGTTTTGAACCAAATATATGTATAAATAAATAAGTAAATAAAAATAAAAATTCTTTTATAAATAAAAGACATAATAGCTACATTTAATTAAGAAGCAAGAAATATTGAGAAAATAATTCATCATGTGTAAGCAAACAGAATTTTTTGTAAATAGACGAGGCTTTATATTACTATCTCATTACTTAATGACAAAGGCAGAAGTCTTTTTTGTTAATTATAACACAGACGTAAAATCTACGCTTGATTAGTTTTAAATAAAATTTTAGCCAGATATGTGTGAAAAACCTTTATTAATTATTCATGCCTTTGAGTGGCTTACAGTAATTAACTCTGTTTGAAAATAATTTTTTAAGAAAAAATATTGTTTTTTCCGAAAGCTTTTTGGACAATTTCATCAATGAACAAACTGGTAGAAAAAGTTGCATTTAAAATTCATTTTATAACCTAGATTAAATGTTCACTGCTTGTGCCCTTCAACTTGCCATATTGATAGAATTTGTTTGCACAATTAGACAGTTATTCTGTGGTTTTAAATTATATAAATGGAATTAATTAAGGTTAATAATAAAATTGTTACCAGATTATTTGCCCAATACGAATGCAGAAATGAAATTTAATTGTTATTTGATTTCGCCCATTCGAAGACGTCTGTAGCGCTTTGGGAATTTTGTACTAATTACGAAATTACAAAATCAGATTGAAATTATACTTCCAAAAAACACGGCTCATTATACTCGGACACTTGCAAATGCTTAAATGGACAAAAGGAGATGACAAAAAGGCGGGAAACTTCAATTAAAACCAAGATGGCCTGTTTTGAAGGGATTTTGTCTTTTTTCTATGTGCCGCCTAAGAGGAACTCGCTGTATTTGCAAGAAAATGTAACGCTAAACTTTACAAGTAGCCACATTAGTATAGAGGAGGTGGTGTGCGATAGACTTACCTCCACGTGGTGCACCCTGGGCAACGTATACTCATACGGCAAAAAAGTCTATTAACCAACAGGTGACTTCTGAATGCAAACTACCATCACCCCACTGTATGTCATATTCCACAGCTTCCACAGTACTCATCTTACCTTTTCTCTGCCTTTGTGTCTGCCTCTTTTTAAATTTTCGAAACACCCTTCTGTTCCCCCCTCTCGACTTTTTTTTTAATTTGATGTTCCTCCTCCTCTAACTAAAAGGCTAATGATAACCATCAAAACGCCTGCCATTAGATATAAATACATTAGTAAAGTCTTGACTGACTCAGAAATCTCTGTGGCGGAATCACCTATATCTGGCTGAACCTCCAGAACTAGCTAAGCTACGGCGCAGCCATAGAGGAAACAAACTTATCGCACTGAACACGTTTGGTTAGGAAGTATGTTGTGACGAAAGCGTACTTACTGTAAAGTTAATCATGATGAGAATGACGGATCCACTTACACAAGCTTGTTAGGCAATAGCGTATCCCACAGATCAGAGATCAGCACTCAGTTAAGTACACTTCAAATTAACATTTTCCGAAATTTGTGGCAATGAGATATTGATTGAAAGTTATACTAATGAATATGCTATAAAACTACAAAGTCCGCCTGCATCTCATTAAATTCACTAAATTGTTTCATTTAATTGATTTTTGAAACTGGAAAAATTGACGTAGATTAATTGTTTATAGTAAACAATTCAACAATTACGTGTTAATTGTAAAGTCCCTAATTTATCATGCTTTTAATTGCTTTGAACGGAGTTTGGGGAATAACACAAAAAGCACAACTTTCACTAAACTTGAGTATTGGAGAAATGTTATCTAATGAGTTATTACTACATTTCGTCTAAACTTAAAACTGAAAATAAATAAATAAAATAAGCTTCAATTCAACTGACTGGAGACGTTTTTATGGAAAGTGGCTTAGATTATTGCTATTTTTGATCATAAAATAATAATTATTTTCATAAATTGATACAATACCCTGAGCTAAACCAGACAGATAACAAAACAAACCTATTATCCTTAAATGGTTCTAATCATAACGATAAATAATGGTCACTTAAAATTAAATTATATTTGTTAGTGATCATTTGATAATTTTCATCAAAAAACAACAACTATTTTACTTCTGACGATAATCTTGTATTAATTTTTTAACTTATTAACTCCACCACAACATCACTTAATTAAAGCAGATGTTCAAAATATACTTTTTGTTTGAAATTTTTGAACCATATATTAGAAGGTATTTGAATCAGAGAAATAATATAAGTAGAATTTATTTGTAGCTTGATGAGTAAAAAAATTCCTATGAAGTAAGGAAATCGATTAATACGAGGATAGAAGATTGGTAGTAAAAAGGCTGGTAATTTATGTCCAAGGAAAAATGCCTCTCAGGAATTGGGATAATTATATGGGAAAGCACATTCGCTAGTGCCAAAAATGCGCTACTCAATTTAATTAGAAACAGCGATGAAAGTCAAAAGATACCAACATTAATAGTCATCATATCGATTGCATGTCACAAAGCCGTAGAAACGGCAAAACACAATCGTTAATTTCAAACAGAAGGCACAGACGGGTGTTCTAAAACAGTATAGTGCATTGAATACTTTCTTACTTAACATATAGTTAAAAATTATATATATTTTCTAAATTAGCTAAATAATTACGTGTTGATCCAACATTCCTCGACAAAATCATAGGCTCTACCATAATATCATTCGATGCTTCAAAATTTGCGTATTTGAACGTAAATTAATGAAAGAAATCGATAGCGTTCACATTAATCACGGTTGCAATCATTTCAGGTACAGACCATCAGACCATAATCGATATTTTGGGTCGTCGAACCAGTGCAGAGCGTCTTGCAATACGTCAAGCCTATGCTGCAATCTCCAAGAAGGCAAGTACTTGGGGAAAGAATTTTATTTTTTTACTATCTTTCCTCTCTCTCTCTCCTTCTGTGTCACACTGTAGGTCCAAGGAGACGCGCGGAAAAGTTATTTCACTTTGATGACAGCAGATGGCCTCCCCCTCCTTTAATTATGAGAAGTTTCGTGACCTTAGGTTGCACTTTACCGCTAAAAATGTCCTCTTGACCCCCTGGTAGTTGGAATGCCATTCTCTTACGACCAGCAAGTTACTACGTGAACTTCCCGATGAGAAAGTGGATTATGATTTTCCGATTTATTACATATTATTTCCACGTTAAATATTTCACAGTTTTGAAGCTAACTAACTATGTGCTAATTTAATTGCATTTAAAAGGACGCTTTAATGTAAACATACCTTTTTAAATTTTTATTTTATTTACTACACGCAGCTTAATGTGGCCTTAGTTAGTTTACGATCTTACAGTGCGCTGAATTTTCATAAGGAAAAGTTCATTTCAGAAGGAACATTATTGGATAAATTATTATTATTTCAAATGGCAGGCGTTTTGAATAGTTATCTTTAACCATTTAGCTGACTTCGGGCTTCACAGAAGAGGAGGAGGAACATCAAAGTGAGAAAGATTCGAGAAGGGGAACAGAAGAGTGATTCACAGATGTAGAAGAGACAGACAGACAGACACAAAGGTAAAAAAGGTGAGATGAGTACTGTGGAAGTGGTCGAATATGACATACAGTGGGGTCATGATAGCTTGACCTCAGAAGTCAACTGCCGGTTAATCGACATTTTTGCCGTATAAGTATACGTTGCTTAGGGTGCATCACGTGGAGGTAAGTCTATCGCACACCCCTTATTGGAAAAATAAATACATTTAAAGAGATATGCATACACATTGAGGGTCACAAATTAAATGGTTTAGGTGGATATGGTCCTAACAAAAGCTACCTAGCTTATTGTTTTAATTTTAAATTTTTTTAATCCTCGTATTGCAGAGTCTTGGGCAGGCCCTATACAACGATCTGAGGGGCGATTTCCGTGATTTGGCTATCACTCTGGTCAAAACGCCGTGGGAGATCATGGCAGACGCGATGTACAAAGCAATGAAGGGTGCTGGAACTAAGGAAAGGGTTCTTAACGAAATTCTTGCCGCATGTTCACGTGATGATATCCCGGAGGTGAAGAAGGCCTATGAAGAGGGTATGAACCATTGTTTACCACCCTACTAAACTTTTTGACAATCTTGAAATGCTACTGAGATTTAAAGGCAAAGCGATAATGGCGATCACCCCGGATTTCGACACTTTTTCGCCGAATACTGCTCATACCAGTTTACTTGTTTCTTTATGCACTTATTCTTGGATGAGCATCATTATTACAATGGATAGTATCGTATTACAGACGGAACTTTGATGACCTATTTATTGATTTAATTTGATTGACTAAATGAATGAAAACCTTCCTAAAATTTTATTGATGCCATTAGTCTATGGATTATTGATCTTTTGGGCATTGACCAATCATCAGTTGGTATCTTGCAGTAACTAGCTTACCTTTAATACAGACCTTATTTAAGTTATGAGGGGAAGTCAATCTTGCGACATGTCATTGAATATGCTACTAACAGAATTAAGTATATCGCGTTATATGAAGAGAGAATTCTTGAACTCCAAGGTTGCTAACTTTTCGTGCTATCAATTTGGAAACATCCTCTGCCTATCATTGAATGTAAAATAATTTCGTAACTGATAGAAAAAGCTCATAAAGTCAAAATTGAAGAACTTAGTTTTGAAACCAACTATTTATACTTAATTGGAGTGTGTGATAGACTTACCTCCATGTGGTGCACCCTGAGCAAAGTATACCCATACGGCAAAAAAGTCTATTAACTGGCAGTTGACTTCAAACTCCAAACTACCATCACCCCACTGTATGTCATAGTCGACCACTTCTATAGTACTCACCTCACCTTTTTCCAACTTTGTGTCTGTCTCTTTTACATCTTTGAAACACTCTTCTATCCCCCCCCCCCTCCTATCTCGACATTTTTCACTTTGATGTTCCTTCCCAACTGTGAAGCCTGTAGTCAACTAAAGGGCTAATGATAAATATCAAAACGCCTGCCATTTGATATAAATGATAAATGTATACTTTATTCAAGTGGAGATTGGCGCTATTTCGTGTTGAAGGCCTTCATGACTTCCGCAATAGAGTCTCCTGAATGTTAGTTGCATGTATTTTCTTCAATTTCAACGTTTTCACAAAAGTTTCATATTTGTTCTCAAGGACAAATCCTTGTTGTTATCCTCATTTCCACAAAGCACTTTGCGTTGACTGATGGTTGATGACTAAATTACAAAGTTCATGAAGGTTGGGCTGTAATGGCGTGTCGAATTTAGAGTGCCATTTTCCAGGATGTTGATAAGACCTTGAGTTAAGTTAATTAAAAAGAACTTAGCAAAGTTCACTTAAAGCGATGATTCTTTAATGAATTTTTCAAAGAGCTTATCTGCAAAGTATTTAAACGCATCTAGGAGAAAATCCCAATTTCCTTTTGCCTTAAATTGTGCCTTTGAAATATTAATTAGTGTTATATTCGAGGCTTGCTGGCTAATTACTTTCTAATTCATAATCACAAGTACAAATTGACTAAAATAGGGAATGTGTCATACGTGTTTTCAAAATATCTACAATTTAATTGAGTTAATTAAAAGTGAAAGTTGCCTTTCATTTGGTAAAAAAGCTCTAAGTAATTGAGTTTATTTAAAAAAGGCTTACATTATCCAATTTGGACGGCTATACGGGCACACCAAAAAGAGGAATACTTTCCTAAAAAAATTTAGGAGTTTAGGGAAATGAAATTTAAAATATTGACTTTTTTCGCTTTCCCATCCGCAGTGCAAGAGGTTCTCATATCATTCATTAGAATTTCAATTCTTATCACAATTTTTTAATTCTTAAAATAACCTGAAATTGATAACTGAATTTCTAGTTAATCAAGAAAATCCACATAAGATATTCGAGATCATTGATTCATTGTCATTAAGTGTTCTCACAGGGCTGATGAGTTGGCCATTAGCATACTTTTGAGCCTAAAATTAATGCATTTATAGATGAGAATCAATATTTTTGGACATTTTATTAATGTCAGTCAAACCCAAGACTGTATGTAAGCTTTCACTTTAGTTCTCCAAGGAGACTTATGACTTCAAAAGCATTTTAGTATAAGAAACCTGGGGAGGGAACAATAGTCAATGAATGAAGTATTCATGGCTGAAGCCTGGCACACCTCAACAAAAATATTAATACATTAATCAGCCTAGCAGAGCAGGGCATGTAGAGAATAAAGTAACCGGATAACTTTAGATTTAAATTTGCAGAAATTACTTAAAAATTATTTTTACTTCTAGCCTATCCAAAGCATACACTCGTTAAGGATATAATAGGAGATACTTCTGGTGATTATCGAGATGCTCTCCTTCTAGTTTTGGAGGGACAGATGGACGAGCCGTCTCCAATTCAATTGAAGAAACTTTGTCCGGAGAATTTGAGCACTGTAATCAATTCTGAAGTGGCCCATTTTGACGCGCAACTGATTTATTCTAATGGAGAAGGGTAGGTAGATTTATCAAATATGGAGTGACCTTGGAGTGAAACATTCATCATATCGCCCTATTAATATTTAATGTTCAAATATTCATATATAGACTCACCCAATCAATTTATAACTCCCATTCAGATGTTATTAGCATACAAAGCGTTTTTAAATTAAATAATAATTAAGTTCACTTTCCCTTCCCTTAATAGGCGATTATTGACACCAGAAAATCGATTTATGCGACCAATAATCAATCGGTCTCCATGGCAGCTCTACCAATCCAATGGGGTTTATGTGGAAGTAAAACAAATACGCTTTGCCGCCTTAGCAATATGCTATTTCTACTCTCGCTATTATTGATTATTTTGTAATCGATTGCAGGCCCACGGACACTCGATTTATGATGCTATTAAAAAGGAAACGTCGGGTGATTTTAAGAATTTCCTTCTATGTAGAGGTAAGCATTTTATGATCTTAGTTTTGATCTCTTTGAAAAAATCTGATTATTAATAAGCTTAATCCAGCAAATAGGTTTTTTATTCGATTAAGGAACGGTTGTATTGCAAAAGTTATTTACACTTGTTGTGTTTTAAACGCAAATGACATAGATACACCTTATTAACAAATTTAATATAAATTTAGGATGCGGATTTCTAGTCATTTTATTTTATACAAAAATGATTTTTCCTCTAACTTTTCTAGAAAGAGCAGTTGATTTGCTTCTCATATAAAATTATTAAGATCACTGATGTGGGAAGAAAGCGTTTCTTGGGAGAATTTTTCTGCGAATGTTGAAGTGTTAAACAATTTTTCCTTTCTCTCCGTCTAGTGTGTAGTTCCTGGAGTTGATCAGTTAAATTCGATCTTAATCTTAAAAAAGAAGAATGATATATGCTTAGTGAAATCTGTGGGGAACACAGCACTAACATGGCTGAACTAAGGAGACTCATACGTGGCCAGGCATCCTGGAACGTGCAATCGTGCAGTTAATCACATCAAGGAGGACCGCAAGGGCCTCCCAGCTAATCAATAATCAATGATCAGTTCAGGTCTAATTTTCAATACTGAGGGGAATGCCACTGAATTAATACGACTTCAATAAGCATATTCCATGGCATACATTTGCTTTCCACTTTATCTCTGAGATAGCCTGACTATTTTTGAGGGCAATTTCATAATAATGGATTTTGTCCAACGATTACGAGGGCTAATGGAGACTCACTGATTAAGCAATTACCTCAAATTTCCAAACTTTTTCACTATTAATTTGGAAGTTATAAAGCATCACTCTGCATGTTTTGCAAAAAATTCATGTAATGAAATGGTGGAAGAAGAATTTAGAAAACAAATGAAACCTAATTTGATCAATAGATTTCAAATGAATATTTACAGCTTGATAAAAGTGCCAAAAGAGAAGATAAGTGCAATCGTACTCTGCTACCTTTATTAATATACCGCAAAATGCCATTTCAAACATTTTAATTAGGTATCTAGCATTTAAAGTGGGATGGATTGTGCAATTCTGCCATTTCATGAAAAAGGTCGTAGATTGAAACCTGAATTTTCATAAATATAAATCAGGTGTTGGTCAATAGCGATTTTTCAATTACATAGTCCGCTACGCCCTCGACCGACCAACTTTTTATGCAAAACTTCTTCACTTTGCTATTGCTGGTCCCGGAACAAGGGATGCTACCTTGCAACGAGTTTTAGCAATGAGAGCTGATGTGAGTTTTATAGTTTAATAATATATAATCTACTGATTTCAAATTAAGTAGAACGCTTTATTAAAACTGCTGCGATTAAATCTTTCTACTGTTTCCACGTTTCCAGATTGATCTAGGAACCATAAAAGAGAGATACGAAGAGCTCTACAAAGAACCCCTTTCCAAAGCGATAACAGAGGATACCTCGAAATATTATCGCAAACTCTGCCTCAAATTGGTCGCTTCTTATACGGACGTTTGAAACGGCTAACTCCCGGATATATACGGAACTAAGAAAGAATCTCTCTTTATTCATCATCAATAAATACAACTTGCACATATTAGCTCCCACTGTTTCATGGTGCTTCAAACGGTGTTAAAATTAATTTGGCATTGACTAAGCATATCATGATATTTGATGAGCTTTTAAAGCGATAACAATTTGAGGAATTCTATATTAATTTAAGGCGAGTCTTCCAATCGAAAATATCCAATAATGAGTGCTTACTTATTCCAATGCTTGCAGACATTGGCTGTAGAAAACAGCAGCGATGATGGTGCCATGGTACTGCAGTGACCAATTTGCGTAGAAGGCAAAGTGAAACATTGGTGCATATCTAATAAGTAGAGATAGAGCTCAAGTGCGCATTCTACTTGCAGTATAGACGAATGAGATTTTCTAAAAACATGCTCCCAGAACATTTCGGATCGTTTGGAGTTAATTTTTACTAGCATCTACCCAATTGAGCTGGGAAAGTTCTAAACCCCGTAAAATAAGTCAGTCTTTGCAATAATTAATTAAATTAATAGCAACATAAAGGTATCTTTGCTTGACTATAGATTGTTCCATAAAAGTGTCCGTTGATAAACCTGTGTTATAAATTGAATTCAAACGATATGGCTTAAATCGTTCCTTTCAACGGGTGTGCTGAACCTGTCGAAGCCTATCCACCATCATTGATTGGCGACGTCCAGCACACATCGATGCTTTTACCTCAAAAGCAAAAACTTCTCTCCTCCTCATAGAATTGGCCCTCGACAGACTTGACAAGAAGCGGACGTTGATGGATGTAGAAACTTAGTTTGTAGGGATCGTCATCTTCACCTTTCCATCATTCAAGTGTATTCAAGGCTCCATTCATGGCCACCAGATGAATTTAGAATGAACGTAATAAATTAAAATGTTAGGATTTATTTACTATTTTTAAATTCAAACCTACTATTTAGAGATTCGCTGCATAAGGTCCTGGAATATGATAATATTATCATCAATAGTATTCTAGACATAGAATTCTCAGTGCATAAGTAAACTTTACCTGGGCAAAAAAGGTACGGTGGCGTTTCTCTTATTGTTATTCTTCTCCTCATAATCTAGAGATATCTCATGAATTTTTACAATTGAGACATTCAATATTGACTGGAACTAGTACTTAAGTGGAGTACAACATGACAGTTTTACACTTTTCAATCCAAAGAATTAATATTATTATACCAAATGGCAGTCGTTTTGATGGTTATCGTTAGCTCTCTAGTTGACTTCAGGCTTCACAGGGGGGAAGGAACATCAAAGTGGGAAAAAAGTCGAGAGGTCAGGGGGGGGGGACAGAAGAGTGTTTAAAAGATGTAAGAGAGAGAGAGAGATAATGGTAGAAAAAAGGTTAGGTGAGTACGGTTAAAGTAGTCGAATATGATATATAGTGGGGTTGTGGTAGTTTGAAGTGAGAAGTCAACTGCCGATTAATAGA